ACCCGCTAGAAGAGCGAGGTGTGCGAGAACGCTGGGACCCTTTTTCCTCCTGGATCTCTGCTCTTTTTGGCCCTCATGTCCCTCCGTCGTCGGACTAAACTCGTCCCCACTTCCTCACCGCCTCGGCCGTATTTAGACCCACAGCGTGTAGCCCAGACCACGCTTCAATATTGAGCATAAATCAAAAATGTCTGTGTCAAGCTTACTGCAACACACTGCTGTAAGAGTATAACCAGGAAGCGCGGTAGGAGGCAAAATAGGTTTAGCACCACCGCAGCACGGGAGGAGAATTACGCCCAGGAGCAAATAGATAAAAATAGACCGGAGAAAAACAAAAACAAAACATGAATCGATACTATTGCAGAGTATCGATGCATCGGATCGTCGGCTGTTGGATCGATGCAAAAAGAATTATTATTTACAACCCTATAATCCACCAATCACATTCACTTTATTCACTCGTGTAAAGTCGTGCACCACTCGGGAGAATTCGGAAATGCAATGGTTGGAAAGAAGTTTCCCTATGACTTTAAAGTTTCACAGCTCTGGAATTATAATCAATATATCTCAAAGATAATTTTGAAAAAAATTGAACACACGCACAAATCTAGATACAGACACACAACTCTTCACACACATTTGCAAATTATTTTGCAACAGTATTGCTCCCATAGAAGAGGTGCATCAGAAAATCACCGTAGGTGGACAAATTGAACCGTTTTGAAAAGTTACCGTAGACCAACAATTTAATCAGATCTGTAAATATTAGGTTCACTAAACATGCACAGTGTTTACTGGAGCCAGGTAATCAGGTTGCTTAGTGTTAGACGCCATCAGATGTAAAGCTCCATGAAACAGGTAATATTTTTCCTAAATTCTATTTTTTATTTTCTGAATCCCTCTATTTTATTCCTACTGTGTTCATTAACCTTATAAGTCATTATTTAACACAAACAGCCACAAAATTCAACATCTAATGATATTGGTTTACTTTCAGAAGGACAAAGAACTGCTGTGGCTCAGCAGAACATGCTATGCTTTTATGAGGCATTTAAAGTGGAAAAGAAACGGTAAACTGTCTTACTATTATCAATAATTATATTACAAATCAGTGCTGCCACTGCCTTGTTTGATATTAGACGAAAGGCGATTGATCTTACCCTTTTGCTTCTTGAGCTGAGGCAAGCTGCTGATGGTGGTGGCGTGGATGATTTCTACCACTATCTGATACCTGGGAGGAGATGGAGACCAGAAAGGTCATCAGTACAAGCTGTTCAAAGAACATATGAGACATTAAAAAAAAAAGAAAACAAAAGAAGAACCACCATGAAAATATGCAGCATGATTACCGGGAAATGTTTGCTTGCTTCTTTAAATGATCAAACATGTGAGAGGTCAGTCAGCACCTCATTTCAATACTAATGACAGAATATCATGTCTCACCGCCTTTAAATTCTCCATATGGCATTAGAAAAGTCTCTGTTCCCATGGAAACCGCACAGCAGGAAAAAATATTAGTGCTTAAAGCATCTGTTAGTTTCTACCCACAGCATGGTGCATTCAGAGAACGTCTGCACAGCTACAGAACATCAGTTATAATATCAGTTTAATGAGGCAATGAGGATGGATGGATGGAAGGAAGGATTAATGGATGGACAGACAGACGGACGGATGATGATGGATGGTTATACAGATGGATGGATGGATGGATGGATGGACGGGTTATGATGGATGGATGGACGGGTTATCATGGATGGATGGACGGACGGACGGACGGACGGACGGATGGATGGATGGGTGATAATGAATGGATGGATGGACAGGTGGATGGATGGGTGGACGGGAAGATGGGTGATGATGGGTGGGTGGATGGATGGATGGATGGATGGATGGATGGGTGGATGGATGGGTGGATGGATGGACAGATGGATGGGTGGACGGGTTGATGGATGGACGGGAAGATGGATGGATGGATGGATGGATGGGTGATGATGGATGGATGGATGGATGGATGGATGGATGGATGGATGGATGGGTGGATGGATGGATGGATAAATGGATGGATGGATGGATGAGAAGATGGGTGATGATGGATGGATGGGTGGATGGATGGATGGATAAATGGATGGATGGATGGATGGACGGGTGGGTGGATGGATGGATGGGTGGATGGACGGGTGGATGGATGGATGGACGGGAAGATGGGTGATGATGGATGGATGGGTGGATGGATGGGGGGATGGATGGATGGGTGGATGGATGGATGGATGGATGGGTGGATGGATGGGTGGATGGATGGATGGGTGGATGGATGGATGGATGGATGGGTGGATGGATGGGTGGATGGATGGATGGATGGATGGATGGATGGATGGATGGAT